GGCTCGGGTTCGGAAACCTGACCCGTTTTTAAAAACGGGTCGGGTTGACCCGAATAGTGCCGGATCAGTTCCGGATTCGATCCAAATTGACACCGTTTTTAAAAACAGGTCGGGTTGACCCGAATAGTGCCGAATCAGTTCCGGATTCGATCCGAATTGACACCCTAGATAAATAGAACCAGAGAAATAAACCATCAAAATTTATACTATATATGATATTGATAATCTATATACATTAATTTTATTAGGAGAACAGTCCATCATAACATTGCTTATAATTGAATGAAGAATAAAAAAATCTAAATGTTTCTTTTGCTTCAGGCCGTTTGGCTTTCTATTTGCCCAACTTCATTATTAAGACGGCAACAATACCATCTCACATTAATTATTCTTATTTTAGTTATTATTATTATTCTGTTATAATTTTCTGTCATTTAAGTAAGCATACATTATTATTTTTATTATTTTAATCGGAAGGCCCTTTAGCCTTCCGCTTCCAGGACGCCGCTGTCATATTAATATTTCTATTTTTTTTTTAATGATGGAATGACTTTTTGAATTCTTATATAAATTTATATATTAAATAAAGATAATTAATTTTTGCCTCGTAAAATTTCAAAAAAATATATTTAAATTTATGAAAAAATCATAGAAATTTCTAGGGACTTTTTATCTTCCCCTTCTTAAACTATAAATACTCTCATTGGGGTAAGAGAAAAATCAAAATATCTTATGTCGGTTCAAACCTTTTATTTGAATTGGTAACTCAGATATTGTCAGCGGTGATCACAACCTTATTCTCATGTGCTGGTCCTAACTCCCCCTTGGATTGGAAGCTTGGAGAACTTTGGTGGCAATCAAAGCATTGTCCTCCTGTGTCAGTCATTCTTTGGATTGATAGCTCAGAGGGCGTTGACAACGATCAAAACATAGCCCTCTTGTGTCAATCCTTCCTTGGATTGGTAGCTCGGAGGGCTTTGACAGTGATCAAAGTCTTATTGATTTGACTTGATTTGATTAACCTGCATATTGTTTTCAGTATAGTGCTTTGATTTCAGTTGTAGGCTTTGGTGACCTGCTGGGCTTTGTAAGCTCATTATATGTGGTTAATAATTTCAGGTGCAGGGCCTCCAGCTTGAAGATCTTTCTGCCGAGTTCTGTAGTTTTTCTTTTGTAGCCTGTACGGCTAGTGTATATTTCTCTTTTGACTATACTGTGACTGTTGTATTATATGTGAATTATAGTATCCGCTACTATTTCTTTTCTGTAATGTAATTATCTCTGCCTCTGGATATATGTATGCATGGATTGTTATGAGGAAACCGTTAGAAAGAAAAGAAAAGAAAAAAAAGAAAAAAAAAGAGGCAATAAAACAATCAGATGAATCCTTTCGCTACACGGATCTTGGGGTTGTTACACCTTCCTTGGATTGGTTGCTTTGAGGGCTTTGACGATGATCAAAACATTGCTCTCTTGTACTGATCCTTCTTTGAATTTATAGCTTGGAGGGCATTGACAACGAACAAAGCATGATTTTCTTACAAAAGTTAGAAACAACTTGATGGTAGCCTCTCTTGGAGAGAGATTTGGCATTAGTAATGCCTGAGAAGAAAAAATCTAATGCTAACAAGCGGATGGGTGGAAGCCTAATAATGGTTGGCGACTGAGTGGAAGTTAAGTTGTGATCAACATCCAAGCGTTGGTCCAATGATGGTTGGGAAAAATTTTGTTAATGGTTGATGGTTGAGCCAAGAGTCGATGATAAAGATTGATCAGTATTATGTTGGAGATGGTATACATGTTTGCTTACGGGAACATATAGTGGATAACTTAAAAGAAATTCAATATTGTGTTGACCTCAATTATCTTGCGACATATCCATGATGTCGCCTGAGCATAATTCTAATGGTCTCATGGTGGTTTGTAGAAAATATATGCTGCTCATTGCTCTAAAAAGATCTGATTGGGCGCATACTTTTTCACCGGGATTCATCTCAATGTACGAGATATGGTTGATGAAAATATTTAACTTCCTATAATTTAACTTTTTAGATGATGAAGAATATATGTTTGAATCTGATGTATAATCATGTAATAATATTATATATGATTTTGAAAAAAATTTATGAGCTTGATATTTGTTTGAAATAATGAATGTTTCATCATCTTGTAAGAATGTTTATGAATTTGCCCCCCATATGAAAAACCAAGTTATTTACGTATTTTCGAGATATATTTCCCCCCTAGTGAAGCAACTAATTTATAAAATTTTATTCCTTAAATAGCATTTAGTCATAGATATATTTGTGCCTTTTTAGGTCATTAGCCTTTTATGATATTTAAATGAGTGGTGATCTTATCAAATACTTGCTTTCACTAAGACTTTCTAGTGAGGACCATGTCCACCACTAGCTTCCTTTTAAGGCTACCTCATATGCAAGCTTTCATGGGATTATTAATAGAGCATCGCTCACTTGTATTAAAAATATAAAGAAAATCGATAAGGGAAACTTGACATATCCGAGGTTATTTATCAAAGTATTGTTCGATGAGGCTACAATGTGTAGAAGAGATTGAGAGAATCCACCAATGATGTTTAACATATTCGAGATTATTTATCATAACATTGCTTTAGGATATTAACATGTGTGAAAGAGGCCGAGAGAATCAACCAAGGATGCTTAACCTATTCAAGATTATTTGTCATAGCATTACTCAATGACATTAACCAACGTGGAAGAGATCGAGAGAACCAACTAAGGATGTTTAACCTATTTGAGGTTATTTATCAGATTATTGCTCAATGATATAAACCTGTATGGAAGAGATTGAAAAAATCCGCTAAGGATATTTGACCTATCCGAGGTTATTTGTCAGAGCGCTGTTCAATGACATTAACATGTTTGGAAGAGGTCAAATCGAACATTAGGCTTGATCATCTATGATTGAGATATAATAAATATTATGTATTTCTAGAACGATAGATTTCATAGATTGTTTCGACCCACCATTGTGATGAAACAAGATAATAATGATAACAGATAAATAAAATCTTACTATGTTAGGAAAGACAATATAAAGAATTCATGAGATAGCTTGGATATATGAGGGCTACATAATAGTCAAAGCATATATGATATATAGTTTTAATAGTAGTTACTGATAATACTTGTGAATGAGGGTGATGCTGTTAATGTGGAGCTCTGAGATTCTTTTTAAGCCTTATAACTTACTTGATTTTTAGCCCACGCTCCAGGCCTCCAAAGGTTCTCCACAGGGGAGACCCTTTGAATGATGTCTTTATTCTAGAAATAAGAATTTTCAATATGGAAAGTGATAGATGAGCGTGTTTGAGCTTGTCTAAAGCAACAAACTTGAGCAATTTGTTAATTTCCACGTACTTCATCGTTCCCAACTGAAGTTAGAATTTTTATTTTTAGATGGGACACAGAAGCAATAGCTCCAATGATTGATTGCAAGGGTCTCCCAAATATGGAATTGTATGTCAATTCTGATTTAACAATAATGAATTGAACCGAGTGAGTAGCCTATCAAGGTAATTCTCCAAGTGTCACATGGATATTAATTATCCCCTCTACTTACACCAGTGATTTTCAAATCCATACAACGACCTAGTAGCCAATTGAAGTTTCTCTCTAACTAGACCCATATTAAGAAAAGTTGAGTAAAATAAAATATCCACTGAGCTCTCATTATTAATTAAGATTCTTTTGATGTTATAATATGGATCTCCAGTGCCGACATTGATGGAAAGAGGGTCTTGGTGTGGATTATGAATCCCTTCTAAGTCAGAATCACCAAATATGATGGAATGATCAGATCATGCCTTCTTTAAAGTTGGTTCCTCCGAGGTGGTAAGTAAAATTTGAGAGGATATTAAGGGTTCTCTCACAGTAGATTTAATTTCTCCAACTATTTGGCGTTCAACATGTTGTTCCCTCTACTGATGATGATTCTGCTCTCAACAAGATTAGCCTCATTTTGAGCAGGTGTGTTTTGAGTGAATTGACGGAGATATCCATATTGAATCAGTCTTTCAATTTCTTCATTCGGTTGTCTACAAGCTTCTGTCGTATGTCTGCGGCTTCAATGAAAGTGACAATAATAATCCTGATTTTAAGTATTTAGTTTCAATGGATTTGGCTATCTAATGTTCTCCTTGTTCGATATAACCATGAGAATATTAACAAAAGTTATATTCAACGGAGTGTATTCCTTCTTCGGTTTATAATCCCAAATTTGTGGAGGGGGTCGAGGTGAAAGATCTTGATTCATCCTCTGAGATTTTGGGTTCCAACTCTAGCTTCGTGTACGCTCTTTCTTTTCTTAGAAGGTTGTTCAAATTATTTTCAATGAGCATTGATGGTCGCATCGACAATAATTTGAGACTCCACTTTGTGATAAGAAAATATTCTTTTGTGGAGGGGGTCGAGGTGTAAGATCTTGATTTCTCATTTTACGTTCTTTATTTTAATTTGTGCACTTAAAATCTGCTTTAAGAAGCGATAAGAAAATATTCTCAAACGAATCCTTAATTAGAAATATTAAGTATTTTTAGCGTTTTTTAAAATAATTTTTAATATAAAATTTTAATTTTATTTTTTTTTCTAAATAATTATTTTAAAAAACAATAAAACAATCGTATCAAAGGAAGGCCCAAATTCACGGCAAATTATTGGGTCAGGTGACCGAACGCAGAGATAGGTCCGGATATTAATAAAATATTATTTTAAAATTAGCGCAAGTAAAGCGCAACTAAAGCGCAGATAAAGCACAACTTAAGCGCAAGTCAAAAAGCGCAACTAAAGCGCAACCAAAGCGCAATTCAAAAAGCGCAACTAAAACGCAAGGTGAGGCGAAAAATTTTTATTGGATGTCCGAACTTATTTTCCGCCTCCGATCACCTGACCCAATAATTTGCCCAAATTCACAGTTCGTTGATAAGTTTAGCCGAATGTTCACCGGAAACATGCAAGTTGCTCCTTAATATCCTCGCAACTAATAAGCCGCATTTATTTCGCACGGCTTTACCATCCCTTCCGAACCACAGAGAGAGAGAGAGCACGCGATGATTATCCGAGCCATCATGGTTCCCAATTGCGGTAATGGCTCAATATGCCCATCTCCACCAACAACCAACCTCTCGTTCGCTGGCAGCACCGGCCACCGGCGGTTGGCATCCATGGCGGCGCTGCGACCTAGGTTGCCAGAGCGGCCAAGCGCGTCGCGCTTGGCATCCAGGCCACCCGCGGCGGCGGGATATGTCGGGACCATCGGCGAGCTGTCGGCGACGACGGAGAGCTTCTACGAGTTATTAGGGATTCCGGTGAGCGGCAGCCACGACGATATCAAGCGCGCTTACAAGCAGCTGGCGAGGAAGTACCATCCCGACGTCTCCCCGCCGGATCGCACGGAGGAGTACACTCAGCGCTTCATTCTGGTACAAGAAGCCTACGAGACACTCTCGGATCCTGAGTGTCGTGCCCTGTATGATCGCTACCTCGCCCGCGGCCTCCACTACGCGCTCTCCGCCCGGAGGCGATTCGGTGAGGTGGGCTTGCTTTCTCATGAAGTTCTCTTCTCTTCACATGTTCATGTGCCTATCGTTGGAATATGGATCTAGTTTTTTTGGGTTGATAATTTGGTTTAATCTTTGTCAGAGGTAATCTTCTTTGTCAGAGGTAATCTTGGTTTGCGCTGTTTGTTTAGAACATATGTTAAATGATTGGCCCGAGAGAATCCTTGTAAGTTTATTTAATCATGCTGCCTGCAGATTATTTTTGTATTATTAGATTGAATGGGAGGTTAGGATTTATATTTCCAAAAAAAAAAAAAAAGATTCTAGTAATTTATTCTTGTTCTTGGGGATTGATCCTAGTTTAATTATCTTTCTATTTTCGTGCTTAGTAGTGCCAATTAAATCTAATTTTTGTCGAAGCATTTTAAATTTTTTATTTTTAGTTTTTTCAATGAATGACCCGTAGTGACTGAAGGTTGAAATTATTTGGTCCGGAATATATTTTTGCTGGCCCCTATTTGGTTTCTTTTGCCTGCTGCAAGTCTTCTTCAGCCTTGACTTGTTTCTCTGTTTGTGTTCTTGCCAGTCCGTATCTTTGACTGAATTCTTCCAGAGTACGAATTTTGAGCTAAGCTCTTCTCTAGTTGCCGAGGCTGAATTTTGAGCTAAGTTGTCCGTTTTAGAGTTTGAAGTTTGAACCTTAATGGTGATTTTCATTGCGGACCTATTTCTTGCCAACAGGCTCCTTGAATTATCTTATTTAATATATATTTTTGTCTTACAATTTAAATACCCTTTCTTTGTGGGTTCAAATGCCGGCTCCAGGACTACCAGAATGATTTTTTTAAATTATCTCTAAGTTGAGAGCTTGTGTTCTTATTAATGGTTGATTCGATCCTGAATTAGTCAAGTCAGAGATATATTATCTGTTTTTCTCTCGAGGTGTCAAGCAAACGCACACATATACACATATCCATATGTATTTATTATTGAATTATAACAATGTTGGTTTCTCTGCAGATGGACTAAATCCAAGTAGGTTTCATTCTTGTTTTGTTGCCAATCAAACATTTTCGAATTGTTCATTTATTCATTTCCAGGATGGTGTAGTACTGTATATCAGTAACATATATTTTTTGCGGTTATTCAAAATTTTTCGTATCTTCAAGTTTTTGTTTTGAAAGAAACTAACAAAATTGATTTTCAATGTGCAATTCATCAAAAAGATTTTCAAGCATAATTACTAGTGGACCATTCAAGTACTCAAAATTTCCTATGCTTCATGAATGGTTAATCAATATTATTACTTTTTTATCTGTTTTTAAGTTACTTTACTGTACTTGTAGAGAGGAATAAAGAGCAGGTCCACAATTTTGCTGCTGATATGTCAATTCTACAGTTTGTACCTGTTGGAATCATATCATGCGTGTGGAAAACATGTTTTCTTTAAGCACTCTAAAGAGCACATTGACAAACACTATTTGCTATAATTGATTATTACCTGCACAGTGTGTATGACTTAGGGCATAGTTGTGTTTCAAAACTATGATATGCAGTTTCAAAAGTATAGTATTTATGCAACTCATCTTAGTTTATTGGTTTGGAGCTTAGGCTTTCAATCAAATGATCTTGGGTTAGAGGTCTTACATATGCAATGTGTGTGTTTGCAACAAAATTCACTCAAATTCTCAAAAAAAAAAAAAAAAACTTACATATGCAATGTGTGTGTTTGCAACAAAATTCACTCAAATTCTCAAAAAAAAAAAGTATGATACTTTGTTTCTTTGTTTCTATCATCATGTACTTGTGGCTTTTTTGTTGTAAGTTGTGACCCATTTATTATTTGTATGCTGGCAGTATTGAAGCCACTGAATTTTTTAATCTTCACAAGCCTGGTTTTTTTTTTTTTTTTGGTAATCTAATTGTTCCATGTAATGTTCCAAATCTGATCCACGTTTCCATCATCAAATGTATGCCATCTGTAAACCATTTTTGAATTTGTTAATGATAATTGATTTTATCAACTTTGATTTTTATATTGTCCCTGCTATTGTCTCCAAGGAGCTCGTCTCATTTTTTTTTAATGTACGAGTTTTTCTTAATGAGTAGATGAAGTTCACACAGTGTCTCTCGTTGGTTTGTTTTATCTTTATTTTTTGTAGCATCACTCTGTTTTTTTCCTTATATCATTTTTTTTTTTTTGTAGTCAATCCCTTGATTTATCTTCAAGTCCTCTTAATGGCTTTTCTGTTGGATGCTCCATTAATAGATATTGACCTATCAAAGTTTTATTGTATGATATTTTGTGCTAGAAATAAAAAATGAGGCTTCATAAAGTCAATTCCAAATAATTGGGACATGTCTAATGATGATTAACTCCAAAGCAACCTCCTCCAAATTAAAGAACTTGACCTTAAACTCACTATCACACCATTGATTGTGATCTTCAAGTCTCATCAAATTGCATAGTAATTTAATCATGTATCAAATATTTGTAAAAATGAGGATGATCCTCTATCAAATATCAGCCCTCTTTAAAGCCTAACTTTATTTACATATTTCAATATTTGGCCGATTGCCTTTGATCTTGGGCCATTTGAAATTATCTTCATTTTAAAATCACAATTATCATCTTAGCAATTGGAGCCAACAATTGTGATAATACTGAAGAATCTGATTAATGATTTAAAAAATTCTGTGACTTCACTTGTTATATTTTTAATGATTTTTAAGAGAATTGATGATTTTGATTTAACATTTGAAGATTAATATACAACAACAACATTAAGCCTTTGTCCCACTACGTGGGGTCGGCTACATTAATCCTTTTTCGCCATTGTATCCAATTAAAAGTCAAATTTTCATTTAAATCTAATAAAGAAATATCATTTCTAATATTTTATAACCAAGTCTTTTTAGGTCTACCTCTACCTTTCTTAACATAAGTCAAATCTAATACCTCAACTTTCCTAACCGGATCATCGGAAAGCCTCCGTTTATTGTGACCAAACCATCTAAGGCGACTCTCTCTAATCTTATCTTCCACTGGAGCTATTCCAACCTTTTAACAAATAAAACACCAATTCTCTTTCTAAGAGGAAAATGGTACACCCCTTCACAAATAAAACATCAATTCTTGTTTAGTTGGTAACAAATTTATGAGAAATACTATGTTGCCCCCCTCTTAATTCTATTTGTAGTTTCTTCTGTAGGAGTGTCCCCAACTTTCTTGGTGGAAGAAACCTCTTGGAATTAAGGATAATTCCTCCTATTGCCTTTTCTTCAACATAATTCTTGTGTATGCGAGGGGGTAGTGATGAAGACCTTAACGATTTTAGAAGATGCTAGAGAACTTGAAAGTTTTTTTCTTGGTGAACATTCTTGTTAATTCCATCAGGAAGTAGGAGTGGCAAAATAAAATTTACTTCCTATTCTCTCATTGACAACATTTTAAGGCTCGGAGACCTTACTTGCAGTTGGCTTAAAATTTTATCATTCTTATTAGTACACAAACATACATAACATTGTATTATCTTAATTAATGCTGAGGTGGCACTTAACCATTGGCTCATATGTAATAAGGCTATCCTCAATATCTATATACACGAATGCAATCAAAGGTTTTATTTTCTGCTTCTCGTTTTCTTCTCTGGTTCTCTTTCTCTTCTCGTTCTTGCATTCGTGTTCTTCAATTCTTCATGCTTTGGAGTCCTAAACCTTTAGAAAGTCTATACCTGATGCCTCTGCTTGTGGTTACTTTCATTTAGGAGCTGGAGGAGAAATCTGGGTGGAAAAATCGTTGGCAGGATCAGCTTGCAGAGCTGAAGAGGAGGAGTACGACCAAGAATTCAGAAGAAAATCTCTCTTGGGGAGCTCGCATGCGAAAGCGAAGGGCAGAATCTTTAGCCGATTAGGCTTCTTCAATCATGCCTGAAGCTTCATCAGATTTATGGATTCAGCAGTAAGGCTGTATCTATAGATCTCACCAATTTCTTACTCTCTACAAGATCAGTTGCTTCAAAGAAAGTGGAAAGTGGCAAATGCCTCAAGTGTGAGATCAATTAGAAGCTGAAGTGATGTAAATTTCTTTGGCATTGCTGCTAATTAAGGTTTCGTTTGGGACGGCTTTTTTATTGCTTCTTAAAGTAATTTTTTAGTACAAAGATTAAAACTTTTATACTAGAAAGCTGCTTTAAGAAGCACTAAGAAAGTCGTCCCAAATAAAACCTAAGGTGCCCTTTTATGAATCATATATAAAAATGTAAATACTTACATCTCTGTATTCCCTGATGTATATATGTTTTCAGTCACTCTTAGGTAACATTTTGACTGACCATATATGTTCTTTGCTAATGCTGTGATGGAAGCTTTCTTTTGCTTATATGATGTAATTATGTTGACAATGGCAGCGAGGGGTAGTGGCTGGTGGCTATAGGCCATGGGTGTTGGGCTGCAGCGGGCGGCGGGCGGAGGTGGCGGTGGCTTCATGCCATGGGTGCTAGTGGCGGCTACGGCGGACAACGATAGTTGGTGACGATAACATAGTTGACTTGCAGTGGAAAAAAAATGGTCAAGACTAGATGAGTTTACAATCATCAAAATTAATAATATAATCAGGCTACAACATTGGTTAACTCACAGCTCACTTTTTATTAATTAAAACTGGGGGCTAAATTGAGCTTCTTCGGCATGCTATCATCTACTCATTTTTCACTCTAAAATGCAGTGAAAAAAAAAAAAAAATGCCGTGATTCATCACCAATTGAACGTCATTTTTGCGTGCTTCTGCGAAAGTAACCATATTGGCGTCTTTGTCCTCTTTCGTGCGTTTCTTCGGCAAATCCGTTTGAGATAGAAAAATCACGTAGGTTAACAATGCAATGCCAATATTGGCGTCGCACTGTTCACCCTCCACTGATTTGCAAATTTTTTGCCATTCGAATGGAGCAAACCAGCTACGCCTTACAGTTGTTTGGAGTTATGCTGGAGATGCCCTAATTCTGAGACCTCCCTTTCAGGGGTTGTGGTTTCTAACATTGACGCTTTAAAGTAAATCAAATTCGTGAGTTTTGAACTCTTATATTTATAATTTTCCGCTTAATTCATTGTTATTCTAGAAAAAGTATTTGGGATATCTCCGAGATACAATCATGTCGTTGCATCACAATGGGCTTAGGCTTCATTTGTGACGGCTTTCTAACTATTTTATCATGTAAAAAAATAAAAATTTTAAATTATTGTAGAAAATAGAATCTTAATATAATTTATTTTAAAAGCACAAAAAAATAATGACTAAACATAAATATTAAATGCTAATTTGAAGACATGCACTCTGAAGTCCTATTGGAAGCTACAATAAGAGATTGATCCTAACATATAAAGAAGATTCTGTGATCAGTTTTGAAGTGTATAAGCAATAATTTGGGTATTTTTGACATTAATGATAAGGTGTGTGGCATGAGGGGATGGATATTAGTACAAAAAATGATTGAAAGCAATGAAAAAATAATGATCAAATAAAAATTGTGGTAGTAGCAAATTTTAAGAACCTCTTCTATTGTCACAATTTTATTTTTATTATTTTTTTAAAATGATAAATATTAGAAAAAATTTAAAAAAAATATCTTTCGAGCTTTGCATACGAGTTTGAGTATTTGAGCTGAACTTGAGCATATAAAATTTTCAACGAGCCAAGATCGAGCCTATAATGTGTTAAGCTCAAGTTTAATAAATGAGCTCGAGTCAAGCAAAATGGAGCCAAGTTTAAGTTAAATTTTATTTGGACAACTTTCTTATTGTTTTCTAAAACGACTTTTTACTACAATTATTTTAATTCAAAGAATTTTTGTACTTAAAAAAATTATCTGAAAAAAAACCAAAACAATTTTAAATGAATTAGGCAGAAGCTTCCTTGACTCTTCTAGTTTACACCCCTAGCCAAGGGGAAATTATTGGGTTCGAACAGCGGACGACGTTCGGAGCCCAATAAAAATGCGTTACATCACCTCGTACTCTGTATGAGCTCGGTACTTCACAGTGCCGAGCAGTACTGAGTTCGGTACTGAGAAATACCGAGTTCAATATTACTCGATACTGTAAAGTACCGAACGATAAACTGTGTCCGATATCCGAACCGAATAATCTCTCTTAGCCAAGAATCATCGTCGGACCAAAATGTGAGGGTTGGAAGATAAACCCGATAAGACCCGCTACTGAGGAGAAATGTCGGCTGGTACGTAGAACTCACAGTTATTGGACCAAAATGGTTTTTTACAATGAGCCGGAATGCTGGCCGGGTCTTCTCTTCTCTTGAGCTGGCCCATTGCCGAAGACAATTTCCCGCTACTCTCTATTTTTTTTTTCTTCTCCGAGAAGCAGAACAACCAGGTCGAAAAATCCTCACAAAAGCCCTTCGAATACCCTCTCTCTTCTTCACGCGATCAAGCCAAACCTGGAGTCATCGAGCAAACATGAGCACCGTGGACAAGATGTTGATCAAAGGTATACGGAGCTTCGACCCGGAGAACAAGCATGTCATCGCCTTCTTGAAACCCCTCACCCTCATCGTTGGCCCCAATGGCGCCGGCAAAACCGTACACACACTATCTCTTTCTCTCTCTAACCTTTTTCTCGTTGAAAAAAAGTTCTTGAACTAATCTTTTCTTCCTTTCCTGTGATCGAAGACCATCATTGAATGCCTTAAGCTCGCGTGCAGCGGGGAGCTGCCTCCCAACTCCCGCTCGGGCCACAGCTTTATCCACGACCCCAAGGTCTAACCTCCTAAGCTGAAAACGCTTATTTGATATTTTGGAGTCGGCGGGCTATGCTTGTTATTTACGAAATGGCCTGTTTGATAGGTTTTGGGCGAGACGGAGACTAAGGGGCAGATCAAGCTTCGGTTCAAGACTGCTGCCGGGAAGGATGTGGTGTGCATACGCTCCTTCCAGCTCACACAAAAAGCTTCCAAGATGGAGTTCAAGGCCCTGGAGAGTGTACTCCAAACCATCAATCCCCACACTGCAGAGGTTCTGACGCCACTATCTTTTTCCACTATAAGATTTGTGTGAAATCGAGAGACTTTTATCTTCTCTGATGGACACAACTCTCCTTGGCCTATTGGTTGAGAGCTTAGGCTTCCAACTAAGAGGTCCAAGGTTCGAGTCTTTGTGTATGCGTTGTGTGTGAGTTTGCCTTAAATGGCCTAAATGTCCCAAAAAAAAAATCTTCTCTGATGGAGTTTTTGTTGTTGTTGTCGTGGGGTTTTTGGGTGATTTGCAGAAGGTATGCCTCAGTTATAGATGTGCCGACATGGATAGGGAGATTCCAGCTCTGATGGGTGTCTCCAAAGCTATCCTTGATAATGTCATATTCGTCCACCAGGATGATTCAAATTGGCCGCTACAGGATCCATCAACACTGAAGAAGAAATTTGATGACATATTCTCCGCCACTCGGTATTTTATGTACACTATCTTTGTTCAATTGAGTGTAAGAAGAGATATTGTAAACAGTTTACAGTCTTTATATTTGAACTAAAGGATTCGTCTTTTTCTTTCTTTGACATATGCCCGCCTTTACATTGGCTTTTTTAGTTTTAACGTTCGTTTTATGAGAAAGTATGTGTTGTTGTGCTAACTTGATCGGACAGTAATGCAGGCATAAACCTTGTTGAATGTTTTCTTCTAGGAATGGATTGTGGTTTCTCATGTTGGTTAATTTGTATGTAAATTGTCCCTTTGAAATTTTAGCATACTCCAATATGTAGGTTCTTGATAGGAAATATTTGAGTTCGCAAGTAATCAAAAAGGAAATACTTGAGTTCGCAAGCAAACCTAGCAATAATTGATAAAAACTGCGGGATAATGCAAAAATCTTGATGAAATCAATCCAAAACGATAGATTGTAATAGTGGATTCAATCAAAAGAAAACACAAAGCAAGATACAATTGATCTTCAATTTGAGAGGAGGATCGTTCTTTCCCAATATCTAGATGATGAATCTAGAGCCCAAGACGCCAAAGAAAACTTCAAGAGAATCCAAGAGAACAACGCAAAGCATGCATAATCCTAATCCTAAACAACCCATACTATTAATACATTAATTCCATAATTCAAAGTTCCCTCCAACCCCAAGGAGGGCCGGCTGGGCCGGTTCAGTGAGAACCGGCCTAACAGTTCTTCATCTTGTGTCCTAAGATATTAACTTAACTGCATATCTACTGCCTGTTTTGTTAACTCACACTGCCCTTGTCCTTTGCTTGTAAATGTTGATGTTACAGGAAACACATGAAGGATTGCAGCTAATTAATTTATTGATTTTTCAGTATGTGATGTCTGAAATGCTTATCACTGGAAAAATGATTATTGGAACTTTATATGTTAATCTAATGGTAAACTGACCAAAAAACCAATAACAAACAAAATGGACCTGTGAGGATATATTTGCTGGTGCTGCAAGGCTAAAATTTTTATAGCGCCCGGATAGTTAAAAAGGCTGTATGTGTCAGGTAAACAGATGATCTAATTTTACATTGGGCTGGGGATGTATACAGGGAATTTGTGTGAGGCATTAATAAACCAATCAAAATCTTGCATGCCCTTGAGAGAAAACTGTTAGGAAACAAATAAGTAAAAGATTTTTCTTCTTGATGAGATTCTGTTTCGTAGGTAATAAAATTTTCATTTAAGGGTTCAAATGCTTGAGTAATTACTGGAGTGTTGGTAGAAATTCAAGTTTATATTCTTCCTTCCTTCCATTTAATGGAGGAAAATCTTCCTAGCCAATTTTTAAGTTTAGAAGGGTGACTGTAACAAGATTTTATTGATTACTTTTATGGGTTTCCTTTTTTAGGTCAATTCTATGGAACTTTTGTGCCCATGGTATCTATTTTACTTTCCTTTGTCCTAAGATACTTGTCTTTTGTATCTCTCCGAATATTTGTTATTGGCTGTATCATCACTTTTGTCTCTAACCTTCAACTGCTTCTTTCTAGTTACACGAAAGCCTTGGAGGTCATAAAAAAGCTTCACAAGGATCAAGCACAGGAAATAAAGACATATAAACTGAAATTGGAGAATCTCCAAACTCTTAAAGATGCAGCATATAAGGTTATTTTGGCTTATTTTCTAGTTAACTTTCATTTCAGGCCTTTTATAATCACTTTGTTTTAAAATTGTATTGTTTTTGTCATATGTCGAGATATAATATCTAAGTAATGGAATTTAGTTCAAACTAATTTCCATGTTCTATCTCTTTCCACTTTTACATTTTTTGGCAATTGAGTCTTTCATGCTATAGTTGTTGCCTTCCACATGGTATACCACATGAAACTGATTCATATCTTAACACCATTGAATTAAATGACTCATATGAACTAAGAACAATTGAAATATGATAATAAAAGAGCTGGGGAATTTTATGATTTTTTTTTGGCTCTTTTTAGGATATCCACACATTATAAATAGCAGATCGTTTAGATAAGAACACTTTATTGTTTGTTTTAAGGGTAAAACTTGGTTTTGAAATTTTTTTTGTTATTGTCGATTATTTTAGTTCAAAATTTATATTTAATATGGATTTGAAATCTTCTTAATAAAGTGTTATAAACATCACTATATGACAATAATCGATAGTCGTGCCTGGGCTTATGGGTTTCAAGTCTAGTAAGTCTTTGGAGACTATTGCATCAGATACTAAAAGAAGTGAATGTCTCTCCCCATGATGGCCCCTTTCAGTTGAGCATATAACATGACAGAGGCAGGTATGTCACTATGTCTTAACTGACTAAATTTTTTTTTAACACCCATTATAGAACTCTACCCATCATAATAAAGTGGGTGATAAACTCAATCACTTGAATGATTCAAACTTGAACATGCACCATAACTCTTGACTTGTAAAGATCCAATAAGTTAATGCCAGATCATTATACGAAAGTATTCTAAAATATTTCATTTATTCAACTATAGAACTTCTAATTATCATGATGTTTACATTCATAACATCAACTTTTCATCATATATATTGCTTTAGCATGCTTCATATATTACATTAAAATAATTCATTAAAACATAGGGTAGTAAGTTAAAAATTTGATGCTCATTCAATCTCGAACTGCTCCTTTCCTAAAAAGTAGTAGAGCCTTATAAAAATATGATGGCTATGAAGTTTAAGATCGAGAAGTTTGATATCTCATGGTGTTTTGAGTTTTGGAGGACCAAGATTTGTAGTATTCCAATTCAATTGGGTATTATGAAAGGACTTATAGGGCACTAAAATATGTTTAGCAATGGTGAAGACAATAAGGTTAAGATGGATGAAAATTCTCTGTTGACTATTTTGTCTGGCGGATGAAGTCCTAATGGGGCTAATGATGGAGCGATTGTAAAGTACTTGTTCATTCTTTTATTAAACCATTTTTGCTTCAACCACTTTAATTCCTAACAAGCACAGGTAAAGAATAATAGGTTATTTGTTCGACAAGTTGTCCTAAAAGGAGCCAAATGAATAAAGTGTATTATAGTTTTAACAATTTGGTGCTGTTATACTCTACTTTACGAAACTCTTGCATGGTGGTTTTATAGTTATGTTGTAATACATTATACTTTTTTGGAGGATACTTTTCTTGTAAGATGCATCATCTCTGATAATTATTATAAATTACATTCATAAATATATGTTGTATTGCAATTGATTTGATGTGAGTGAATCTCAAATGGTTTTGTTTTTGTAATTTAACATGAAACTCATAAAGATCAATCTCCGATCATCATCACTATACCACCATATATACCCCTTATTATATATTGATGAAAATCTTTATGTTATTCTCGTTAGAAGCATTATATCAAACAATTATTTGCGTGCAACTAATTTATTTTCTTTCAATTACTTGATTTTTATTGTTTACTTCAGTAATTGAGAACATGCTAGTAATGATGGCCTTTATTGGGATGTATTTTATTTTGTAGCATTAGGTTAGTTTATTTGATTTAGCATGATTTCAATCTGGGTTCTATTTAGGTTAATTTTTATGGCGGCATTTGATTTGAAGAATAACGCGGCTATTGGGTTTGAAGTTGGTTCACTGTTAATTTTGATATGTTGGTGAGTGTGTTTGTGGGTTGTTGTTAGAGTTTTGGAGGCGGTATAATAGATGAGATCACCCTTTGTGATGAAATTGGGTTTTATATGTGGAAAGTAATTAAAAAGAGCTGAATTGCAGTTTCTGTTGTTTTGAAAGACGAAAGTTGGCCTTATCTAATACTATTCTAAGGGAGGCGTTGGTTTTTGGTGTCATCTCCTCTTGGATTTTATTCTAGCTGCTATGTTGTTTTATTTAGAGCCCGTGTTCTTGTGATTTTTGTTGTATTGGAAGTTTTGGTTTTGTCCAAAACATGCATCATAAGTTTCTTCTGAGTTCCATGCTTTTCTCTTTGTGTTAGTATGCTTCCTAAAGAATTATTAAAGGTTCAAGTTTGTCCGACTGTTTTGTGTAAGAATTATGAATTTTAAAATATGGTTTGAATTAATTTAATCTTTTGTGCATTTTAATTTAAATGTAGATTAGGTATATATTCTATTCTATGCCAAACTATATTTGCTAGTGTAGGGGATAAAGAGTCTATAAGCAAATGTAATACTACATGTAGTTGAACAACTTTGGCCATATAAACATTTTTTCCCATATTCAATATCGTGAGTGTAAGTTGGATATGCGATTCTTTTTGCGATAAAAGTGTGACTGCATAATTTCGGGGAACTCGCCTCGTATCGGTTGGAGGACTTATTTCTCTTATTTTGGTACTTCACTCCTTATTTTTTATTTTATCTATATTATTTGATATTTAATTGGTTAGTGCTCTTGATATTTTTTAAAGTTTGGCTCATCAGAAATTCAATTTTTTGGAAATCCAATTACAATTGCGCATTGCATTTATGTGGTTCTAAATCCTTGTTGAATTCTCATATTATTGCAATCATGTAGTTATGGGTGGGTTTTAATTCAAGTTTTGCTTGTATACTCTAAAAGAAAGTAAGTTGTTGAAATAAGTGATGGCTTGTGATCTATGAATTGTTGAGTTCCTTAGTATAGATTTATACTATTTATCATATTAATTACATTAGAAAATTCTGATCCCAAGCTGTCCCCTCGGTTGTTGCTGATGATTAATTTTTCTCTTTGCCTGGCTCATAAAAGTGTATGGTTCTATAAGCCATTTCGTTTCAACCGATTTCTTATCCGTAATACTGGTATTATCTTCTTTGACTTATTGTAATATTTTAAATTCAATTATCTAAAAATCAAAACTTTTGAACTGATTTCTTAGCACTGACACTATTATTATCTTCTTTCAGCTAAAGCAATTTAACCAGTTTTAAGGTGCTTGGGTTAAGTCATGATTCATCTGATATGTGCTACTGATCATGTCTGTTTTTTTTTAGGTGTGAGAGTTGATTGTCCAAGTTTGACTATCTTTTTAAGTAACTTTGCAGAGGACATGTTATGTCATGATAAAAATGTTTCATTCACTTAACAATTGCCATTTTACAGCTCCGTAACAGCATCTCTCAAGATGAAGAAAAAATTGAATCTCTAAAAATTCAAATTAAGGAATGGGAGAGGAGTATTCAAGGTGTTGAGAGTAAAATCCTTCATGGAGAAACTACCTTAAAAGAGTTGCGTAAACTTCAGGATCAGATATCGTCCCATACTACTGCAAGAAGCACTTTGTTTAAACTTCAACAGACTCAATATGCTGCCCTTGCCGAGGAAAATGAAGGTTTTGTCCTCATGCTGATCAACTAAAGAAATTTAATGCTTCAGATCTACTTATCTTTGAACACAAGATCTTTATAGAAGTTTTTTGTCAAACGATGGAGTTCCATGCATTATAATATCTTTTTACTGCTCCAAAAAGTTTGGCTAAGCTGTACTTTTTAATGATCAGAGTCTGACCATTTGTTGAAAGATTTATGTGTTTGTTATAATTAAAAATTAAACACTAGTATTGAAGTTGCTGTATAATGCTGCATGCCTATTCTATCGAAGTCATAATTTCAAAAACTTTTGGGTAATGCATATACTAATAAATAAGTCTTTGATTTGCACTCTTGGTTGTGCGATGCTTAGCCAAAGTGATAATGCTTACGTGTTAGATTTGCCTGTAGATTTTGGCATTAGTCCCTCCTTTAACATTAGGATTTAGTAGCCTACGAGGGACCATATTTTAACCCACCCAATCCACTATATTATGAGCATTGTGTGAACCCACCTTGTGAGCATCCTAGCCTACCTCCACTTCCCAATTTACCCAATTCACCCAATGAGGATAAGATTGACATGATCGTAAGTGATGAAATCGTTTCCACAAAGGAAGACGAACAAAGAAGATATCTAGTTAAGTGGAGAGGTAAGCCCGAAACTGAGAATACTTGACTAGATCATGAGGAGCTGTAGAAGATTGATCTAGATATATTAGAGCTGTATGAGAGTTCACATGACGCCTACTCGACGAGGTCGAGATCTCTCCCACCTCGGGAGAATGATGGGGACATCAATGTTTGGAAAGTTTATCATAGAAGGCGTCGTAGGTCGACAACCACGATTGAATCGTTATATTATTAGTTGTTATATATGTACATACATATATATATATGTACATACATATATATATATATATGGCTCTCTTCCCCCCTTGTAAGGGAATGATGATTATTTTTTAATGAATTTTGATTTTAGCTTTCTTCTCTTATGTGAGAGTGATTGAGTGAGCGTGGTGAAGCTTTAGGAGAAGGCAAATGAAGTACCCAACAGCCCATTAAAGCGAGATCTTATTTTTCCCCTTGTATCTCTTCCCCTTTCCCTCCTTCCTCCCTATTCGTTGGTCAACCCCTTTCCCCTTCTACCGTCCACGGCAAGCCCACCACCACCACCTCTCCATCAAAGTTCCCAATCTAAAATTTCATATATGAAATTTTGACTTTTGGGTTTCCAATTGGACCCCACTTGTCCCTTAAAGAACTCTTCAGGTTAATTAATGGGAAGTTAACCCATTAATTGCCTCTCCTTATCTTAGTTTTCAAAATTAGTTAAGAATTGGAAAAGTCACAACCCCTTCCCTTTCCCCATGGTTGGCTCACTCTTTGAACTCTTCATGTTAATTAATGAGAAGTTGATCAATTAATTTCCTCTCCTTATTTTCATTCTCAAATCTAGTTGGGAATTGAAAAATCCACATCCCCTTCGCTTTCCCCATGGTTGAACCACTATTGGAACCCTTCAAGTTAATTAATGGGAAGTTGATCAATTAATTGCAAAGTTAACTTTATCTTTTCCCTTTCTCAAAATAATTTTTTTCATTTTCCAATTCCACTCTCTCCCATTCCCATAAGCCCCACCGCTCTAATTAACCTCATACCATTCCTAATCTCACCCAAATAGCAAAAACCGTGGCTTCCCTCCTTCCAAATTTCAGCCAACATCTATTCTTCTCCATTGTGGAGCAAGACACAAGGAAGGCACTACGGAGCAATCATTTGAAGATCAACGGGCTGAGAACCCACCACATCTGAAGGAAGCTTCCCTGCGACACAAATACCTAAGTCATTCTACTCTTACTTCATACATTTAAGTAGATAGTTTTGAAGTCCAATTCTCTGAGGCATCACTACTTTCATGTTAATTTAAATCCGCTAGCTTCTTAAATCATTGAGTGCATTATTTTATAGTGACTAATCTATTTAAATGTTGGATCTTTTTGCCAACCCATGTTAGCTAAGTTGTTGATTTGATTTATCCTTCTTGAATTCTAGAACTTTGGTTGTGGTTACTTGCTATTTGTGGACTGCCTTTCTTACTTGTTTGAAGCTTGTTTTAAGCATCCCCATGATTATTAGCTTGCTGATTTTAAATTTAACTTATGTTTAATTTCATAATATAAGTCTTCACATGCTAGTCCTACATCATTTGGTATTAGGGCATGGTTATCTTAGTTACATGTGCTAGGATCCATCATATTTACCTTCATTTTAGCCTCTAGTTGCATTTCTACATCAACATATCATTGACCTTTACTTGTATGTCATTTTGTTTGCAAAGTTTAGGTGTTGTCCACTTTCTGTTAACACTTAGTGTGTCACCTAGTTTTCATATCATGGACCCTGACAACCTTGATAGAGCTAGGAGCCTACCCTCTCTTGATTGGAGATGATTTGGGCCATAATGAGGGTCACCCCTGTGCCCCTTAACCTCCCTAACAACCTAGGCAGGACCGAGACCTACCTCGTGGTTCAGAAAATGTGTTTGGTCATGAGGCTCATCATGTGCATGAATGACACCCCCATGGCCCCCACTATGCCCATCACATCAAGCTAGGTAGAACTCTGAGTACCATATGCGTGATCCGGATGCTCTCCTTTTAAAGAACATCATGATAGATGCCCCGACCTTTGACGATAGCCTTGATCTTCAGATCTTCCTTAATTGGATCAAAGGCATAGATAGCTTCTTTAAGTGGTACAACATCTTAGAGGAGCGCAAAGTTAGATTTGCGGGATGAAATTGATTGGTAGGGCCAGTCATTATTGGATCAACTTAGAAAGCCTTAGGGAGTTTCGTGGTGAGTACCCTATTATCGACTGGAGAGTCATGAAGCATGAGCTTCGGCAAAAGTACCTCCCACCTTTCTTTTTCTCTTGACTCTTTGATCGGTGGAATATATTGACTTAGGGTAGCAAATTTGTGGGGGACTATATTTTTGCATTTGATGATTTCATGATTCGATGCACTGGTGAGACCACTACCACACCTACCTAGATTTTGTCCATGTTTCGTGATGGGTTGCGTGAGGATCTTCGCGACAAACTATTTGTTTAAAAACATTACTACCTTGGAAAGTTTCTACAATTTGGTACTTGACCTTGCCCATTAATAGGATGTCAAATCCTCTTTTTGACCCTCTGGGAGCTTGGGCCCCTATGCCTCTACCTCTAGACCGCCTCTTAGCCCTGCTAGCTGAACCCCTGTTGGTTTACCCCAGTTCCGTCCTGATAATAAGGGCAAGCCTCCAGTCCTTGATTCACCTAAGGTCCACCTAGGGACCAAGTGCTTTAGATGCCAAGGATATTGCCATATTGCCTCCTAGTGTTTTAGCTCTTATAAGGTCATTATTATTGAGGAGATTACTAAAGATGACACTAAGCTTGAGGCTGACCTCATTCACCAGGTAGATACTGATGGTGAATTCTTTGATGATGGTGAGGATGATATTGATGTCATCCCTTGCATCTAGAAATGGGACCCCTCTCCCCTATATGTGTTGTGAGATGTGCACTGTCACACCCTCGATCTGCTGATGATTGGCGTAGGACTTCGATTTTTCACACCTACACCAAATTAAAAGATAAAAATTGCAAAGTCGTCATCGATAGCGACGATTGCATTAATGCTGTCTCGTCCAGCTTAGTGGCCAGCCTTGCCTTGTCTGCTGTTCCTCACCCGGCTTGGGTCAACTCCACTGCTTTGGAGTTGAAGGAACGAAACCTCATACATATATCCTTTTCTGATTATAAGGAGAATGTTTGGTGTGATATCATCGTTATGGATGTGGGTCAGGTTATCTTGGGCCACCCCTGACTTTTTGATAATGATATTCAAATTTATGGTCGTTCAAACATCTGTGTGTTTGAACATGGTGGCAAGAAGATTAAGCTGTTGCCTAGTCAGCTAAAGTCTAATGATGAACCTAAATTCAACCCTGTGAAACCTTGTAAAGGGCCCAACCTTGTACCTGCCAAGATTATTGATTCTTGTGTCGCCCAAGGCGCTCCCCTTTATGCCTTAGTGGGTCGTGAGGTTACTGAGGAGCCTGATAGGCCCATTCCTCAAGAGGTCCAGTCCATCCTTCTAGGCTTTTCTAATATTTTTTCCTGAGGAACTTCCTAACCAGTTACCACCTTTGAGGGATATACAACATGCCATTGGCCTTGTCCCAAATGCTTCCCTCCCCAACTTGGCGTCATTACCATATGACATATGAATCCCACTGAGCATGTTGAGCTCAAGAGGCAGGTGGATGAACTCCTATAACGGGGTTTCATCAAAGAGAGTATGAGTCCTTGTGTTGTTCTAACCCTTCTTACCCCCAAGAAGGATGGTACATGGAGGATGTATGTTAATAGTCGTGCTATCAACAAAATCACTGTCAAGTATCGTTTCCCTATCTCTAGTCTGGATGACATATTGAATATGATGTCTGGAGCCACTTTATTCTCCAAAATCAATCTTAAGAGTGGATACCATCATATCAGGATTCGTCTTGGGGATGAGTGGAAGACAACTTTCAAGACCAAAGATGGTCTCTATGAGTGGTTGGTCATGCCATTCGAATTGAGTAATGCCCCAAGTACTTTCATGAAAGTCATGACCCAGGTGCTGAAACCCTTCATGGGTAAGTTTGTTGTCGTCTATTTCGATGACATTCTTATCTATAGTCGATCTATCGACCAACACTTGGACCATCTCAGCTAGGTATGTGAGGTTATGAGGAAGAAATAACTATATGCTAAATCTAAGAAGTGCATCTTCCTCACTGACCATTTTGTGTTTTTGGGCTTCATAGTTTTAGCCTGTGGGGTCTCTGCTGACCCTGAGAAGGTAAAAGCAATAGCTAAATGGCCTGTTCCCAGGAACATTCGGGAAGTAGGAGCTTTCATGGCTTAGCTACTTTTATTGGAGGTTCATTAGGAACTTCAACTCCATTGTATCCCCCATCATCGATTGTCTAAAGAAAGGAGAATTACAGTGGTCTGTGGCTGGCACCAGAGCCTTTGATGCGATTAAATAAAAGATGGTGGAAGCCCCTATGTTGAGACTTCGTGACTTTTCCAAAGTCTTTGAAGTGTCATGTGATGCTTCAGGAGTTGGTATTGGAAGGGTCCTATACCAAGGGGGTCACCCTGTGGCCTATTTTAGTGAGAAGCTGAATGAAATTCGCAAACGGTACTCCACATATGACAAGAAGTTTTATGTTGTGTTTCAGTCTCTGAGATATTTGCTACACTATTTGCTCCCGCAAGAGTTCGCCATCTTTTCTGATCATGAAGCTCTTCATTGCATAGACTCCTAGAAGAAGCTGAATGCTCGCCATGGCAGATGGGCTGAATTCCTCCAAGAATACACCTGTACCCTTAGGCATAAGGCTGAAGTTGAGAACAAAACTGCTGATGCTCTTAGTTGTTGTATGATGATTATTGTCAAGATGAGGGTAGAAGTTACTGGATTTGAACAGTTGAAGGAAGAATATTTAGAGTGTCCTAACTTCAAGGAGATTTACTCCATCCTCTCCATAGGCCCTGAGCGCATTGTTAATGATTATCTCATTGAGGATGGGTATCAATTTAGATCCTAGAAGCTCTGCATCTCGTGCACCTCCCTTAGGAAATTTCTAGTTTTTGGGAATAAAAAAAGATAAAGTTAACTTTGCAATTAATGGGTCAACTTCCCATTAATTAACTTGAAGAGTTTCAAAAGTGGGCCAATCATGGGAAAAGGAAAGGGGTTGTGGCTTTTTTAATTCCCAATTAGTTTTGAGAATGAAAATATGGAGAGGCAATTAATGGGTCAACTTCCTATTAAATAACATGAAGAGTTCCAAGAGTGGGCCAACCATGAGGAAAGGGAAGGGGTTGTGGCTTTTTTAATTCCCATCTAATTTTAAAAATGATGATAATGAGAGGCAATTAATGGGTCAACTTCCCATTAATTAACATGAAGAGTTCTAAGGGACAAATGGGGTCCAATTGGAATCCCAATGATCAAAATTTCAGATTTGGGAAATTTTGGATTGGGAACTTGGATGGGGATGAGGAGGTGGTGGTGGGCTTGTCGTGGGCGGTGGAAGGGGAAGGGGGTTGACCGGTGGTCTATGTTGCACGGATACTCCTATTTACAAGGCGTGCAATGTCGGACACGTGTCAGATACAGATACGCCTCCGATACGGCATAGATACGTGTCGGATACGGCTTTGCCGTGTCCAATTAAAATATTATTTAAATTTGACTGGACACGCGTATTGGATACGCGTGTCCTATTAAAAAAAACACGGAGCCGCAATTTACCTTATTCTTTTCGGCTTTCCACCGTTTCCGCTCAATATCCATATTCATTTATGCGGCTGAAACATTTCAAAGAGCTAGGTTTTTTGTTTCCACACAAGTGTTCATCTTCTTCGTTATAGTTGAAGGAGCGGCTCGATGACGCGAGCATAGAAGCAAACAGGATCATCCTTTGTCGACAACGAGTCTTGAAGACGGGAGCATTAAAGTCGATAGAATCATCCTTCGTCGACAGAGCGGCTTGACAACACGAATAGTGAAGGCGACGTGAACAGTGAAGGTTCATTTTCTTCGTCGTTCTTCGTTTTCTTAATCATTGGCTCGGTATCGAAACTCGGTACCGAACGCTACTGGACCTTAGTATTGCTCAGTACTGCTCGATACCGAGCGGTACTGGAACTCGGTACCACTCGGTATTGGAACTCGGTACCGCTCGGTACTGTAACTCGGTATTGCTCGGTACTACTCGGTACAGAGCGTTATTGGAACTCAGTACTGCTCGGTATTGGAACTCGGTACCGCTCGGTATTGGAACTCAGTACTGCTTGGTATTAGAACTCAGTACTGCTCGGTATTAGAACTCGGTACCGCTCAGTATCCTGTATTTTTATGTGCTGAAATTTCATATCATTCCTTCTATTGAATAGTTGTAATTTCATGTGCTGGAAATTTATCTTCTTGTTTTTGTTGATATACTAGACATTTAAATATTTAATGCTTACTTTTATTTCAATTTTTTTGTCATTTCAAATATATATATTTTCAGTTTCCAGCCCCACTCTCTCCCATTCCCCTAAGCCTCACTACTCTAATTAATCTCATACCATTCCTAATCTCCCCCAAATTGCAAAAACCGTGGCTTTACTCCTAAATATTGGCCAGCATCTCTTCTTCTTCACTGTGAACCAAGACACATGGAAGGCACTACGGAGCAACCATTTGAAGATCAACCAGCCAAGATCCCACCACATATGAAGGAAGCTTCCCTGCGACGCAAATGCTTAAGTCTTTCTACTCTTACTTCATACATTTAAGTAGATAGCTTTGAAGTCCAATTCTCTGTGGCATCACTACTTTCATGTTAATTTAAATCCGCTAGCTTCTTAAATCATTGAGTGCATGGTTCTCGTAGTGACTGATCTATGTTAAATGTTGGATCTTTTTGTCAACCCATGTTAGCTAAGTTGTTGATTTGATTTATCCTTCTTGAATTCTAGAACTTTGGTTGTGGCTAATTGCTATTTTTGAATTGCCTTTCTTACTTGTTTGAAACTTGTTTTAAGCATCCCATGATTATTAGCTTGCTGATTTTAACGTATGTTTAATTTCATATGTAAGTCTTCACATGCTATTCCTACATCATAAAGTTACATAGCAGGAAAAAACAGCACGGAACAATTTAACAATAAACATAATTCAAAATTATTAAATATATATGAGAAATATATGCATGGATACACCAATGAAGGAAAATTGTACTTTGTAATTTGAGGATCATTGAAGCTAGCTCTGCATAGAATAAAATGCTCAGAGGTGCTGGGCAGATTTGAGCTGTGCTCTTGTGTGGAGAAGTGCACTTGGTAGAAGGTTTTAAGCGCTACATTTTTTTTCCTTGTTTTGTTGAATCCTTGGCTTGCTTTTCTTTCGTAGATTTTTTTGCCACACTTTAGTATTATTATCTCTTGGCTGTGTGCTGAGGCTTCTGCAGGTTCTTCTGATTTTTATGGTCTTCTCCATTGACTTTTGCTAAGTTTCACCTTACCCATGGTTATTCCACATCCTAAAGTAAACTAGTTCTGAAACATTGAATGATAATACCGTCTTGTGCTTCCATCTGTACCTTACAGTGGTTCTTGTAACAATGATAATACTCATTCCTAAGGTTAGACTATCAGTTTTCACAATAATAAACACATCTTGCTATTTAATGCACATCTTCTGTAAGTATTTGTCGGTAGTTTACTTGCTTTTGCCTAGTAGCACTGTTTGATATTTGTCTTCATTTAATTTGGCTTGCATAATTAGATTGGGAAGTTATTTGAGAATTTTTTTTGTATACCTTATTTTTACAGAAACATGTTATGTTAATGCAAGTCGTTCACCTTATTGAAGAGCTGCACTCTCTACTCTGCTTTGAAGTGTAAAGATCGCAAGCACTTTGCTTTTTTGAAAAATTGAACAACCTTCCTCTCTTTTCTTCTACTTGGTTAGATACTGACGAGGAGTTAAAAGAATGGCAAACAAAATTTGAAGAAAAGATAGCACTGTTTGAATCTAAAATAAGTAAGCGGGAGAGGGAGATGAGCGATGAAGAGACCAAAAGTTCTTTACTTTCACAGGCAATCAATGATTCTATGCGGGAGATTGGAAAGCTTCAGGCTGAAAGTGATGTAATGTTCCATGCTTTTGCTTGATATTCTCTGATCACTTCAATAGAATGTGGTTTTTAATGATTCTTTATTTTCTAGGCAAACATGTCAGTGAAGCGAGAATATGATTCAACAATTCAAAGAATTTTTGTGAAGTACAACGTTGGATCCCTACCAGATGCTCCTTTCAGCATTGAGCAGGCAAACAACCTTACAAATAAAATAAGAACAAGGTTGTTCGTTCTTGAAAAAGATTTACAAGAGAGGAAGGTAATCTTTAATTATTCCAAAGTCATCACCGTAATTTTGTTCCTTGGAAATAATATTAGAAAAATTTATGATTGGAAATGCTTATTATGCTTTTGAAAAATCAAGATGCCCTTCGGGACCCTCTTCTCCCGTTTTCTCATATTTCAGCTCCTACACAATGTTGTGTTGTGAGAAACAGATGTTAGATGCTATATTCTTGTAAAAAGGGTATTCATTCTCGACCAGTGCTGTAGTAGATTTCATATTTCCATGCAGAATATCTATATAAAAAAAAATCTGTTAAAATAAAACTAACAAAATCTGTTAAAAAGACAATAATAGAAAGCTAAAATAAAATATAAATTCTTAAAAGAAAGTAAAGAAAAGCTAATTAAACAAAAAGAAAAGAAATATAAGGTTAAAAAAAGAAAATATAGTAAGAGAAAATAAAAATTTCCAATATAAGAAATAAAAAAATTATTTAAATAATAAGACCTGTATATTCATATTTTAAGATTACTCCATTGTTTGTCTTATTTATTTCCAATTCATTAGGAAATGGAAGTGTACTTGTTAGTGAAATAAACCAGAAGGTTTTTTTTGCATCATATGAAAAAACAAATAGATGTTACCTTTGAATGCATTTTGATTTTTTGTTTGTTAAATCAACTGTTATTTGATGCTTGTGAAACCTAGAACGGGAAATTTAAATTATTTTAGTTTTACTTTTGAGGCATAATTTTCTGCTATAAAAAGTCTGCTAGTTTATAATTTTGATTTATATATTTTTTTGTAATAGTGCTTAATCTGCATGTTTATTGAATCAGAGTCAAGTTGAAGGATGGAAAACTTGTCATTGGCATACACCATCATTGAATAGTTACTGATTATTTCTGAAATCTGCTTACTGGGTCTCTTTGGATTCAAACGTGTTACTGAAAATATTTTTATTCTTGCAGAAATCTAATGAAGTAGAACTCAAACTTTTGTGGGAGCGCTATGTTACAATGAATACTCGTTGTAGTGAAATTGAAGGTCAAAAGCAAGCTAAGATTCAATCTAAGGTAGTTTACTATTCCATGAATACTGATATTTGTATCTAAATTACATTTTTTATCCATTATATTGGTAATCATTAATGCTTATATGTTCTTTCAGGTTGGTATATCAAACCGCATCAAAGAGAGAGAGACAGAGCGTGATCTTGCAGAACAAGAGCTGTCAAGCCTTAACCTGTCACATATAGATGAAAGGGAAAGAAACCTGGTGCACATTTCTATACATTTGAAACTACTTTTGCTTAACTTGTTCTATTCAATAGGAGAGTCTGAAACAATTATCCTTTCTATGAAGCAAATAGAGGTTGAGAGGAAGACTCTGGTACTAGGGGAAAAAGATTTTGAGTCTGCCATAAATCAAAAGAGAACAGAAATATTTAGCTTGGAACAAAAAATTAGAGCTCTTTATCGTGAAAAGGATGTTATGGCAAGCGATTCAGAAGATCGAGTTAAGCTAGATTTGAAGAAGGAAGAATTTGAAAGCTGCAAGAGAAAGCAGAAAAAAATGCAAGTTCTCTTCCTTGATATCAACTTCAAGACTTTACTCATTACTTTAAATAATTTAATGTTTCACACATCTTTTGTAACTTTTAGATTGGATGAACTTAAAGATAAAGTTCGAACCGTGTTAAAAGGGAGGTTGCCTTCAGAAAAGGACCTGAAAAAGGAGATTGTGAATGCCTTCGGGTAATTTTATAGCTTTACTTTGGCATTTTTATTATTATGCAATTTTGATGTTGCTCCCTAGCTTGTTGAGAAAACTTCTTTCTCACAAATTCTACGACTATTTGAGAAAGTTATTATTTTTCTTTCTTATGAGCCTTGTGACACTTGATTACATAACTAAATTGAACATCTTTGATTTTTTTGTTGTGATCTGTGTGTTGACCTGTAGACCATCGATCGGCCCCACGCGCAATTGGATGATGCCCACTTCTGCAAAACTAAAACCAAATTGTTTAGCATGATCGTCTCCACATTTTAAAAGCAACCGTTGCCTCAATTCATGTAGAAGGGGCGAAGAAACTAAACAGGAGAGTTAGATTCACTTATGCTCATTTTGGCGATTTGATCATCGGCTTTATGGCAATCCCGTTTGAACCTGTTCGCTGCCTCATTTCCCTTGAACAAGTCTCAACTGAACGACACCTCTTGTTTATTGCCCTGACTCCCTGTCTTGATCGAACGACCCTCTAGCTGTTTGCCCGACCATGGCTACCCACGACCTTGTTGCCGCCGATCATGCCTCTCGAGGCATCTTCGTCCACTCCGACTCATGCGACCAAAATAACGCAAATTACAAACAACACAGGCTGTCTGCTCCACCTCTTGCGCTGGTGTCCGACTCCGACCACATGGTTGAACCACACAAGCCTCTAATCCTTCGCACAATTGAAACTTCTGTCTGCCTCCCTCTGAATCTTCCTGTTTCTTATTTGAAAGAGTGAGTAAGTTTTAATAATAATAATAATAATAATAATAATAATAATAATAATAATAATAATAATAATAATAATAATAATAATAATAATAATAATAATAATAATAATAATAATAATAATAATAATAATAATAATAATAATAATAATAATAATAATAATAATAATAATAATAATAATAATAATAATAATAATAATAATAATAATAATAATAATAATAATAATAATAATAATAATAATAATAATAATAATAATAATAATAATAATAATAATAAAGAAGGAGATGTCGCGATCCTCAACTGGAGGAGTCGATTAATTCCGGGGTTGGTTCTTTCCCCGAAGCCCTCAATCGTCGATTTTAATCTGATCGAGCATATTTGAAAGGACAAGTGCCCTCCCCAACCTCCTCTCGCAGGGAGGGACATTGAAAGACTGCTAAAATTTTGGGAAAATGTTGAATTTCAAAAATTCCTTTCGTTGGAGGATCAAAAGACCTATACTGGGACCCATCGTTGTCCCGAAGCCCTCATCTGTCAAATTCTATCTAGCTTGGTAGGTTTGAAAAAGCAAGGGCCGTCCTGAAACTATCAAAGAATAATTGGAGAATTTTTGTTAATAAACTAAATTAAAATTCATCAAACTTTCATTTAATTAATTGATTAATCAATTTCAAATAATATTAAATAATTTAACTTAATTAAAATAAAATTAAAATCCATATAATTAATCAATTTTAAAATAATGTTTAATTAATTGATTAATTGATCAGGTAATTAAAAAAAAAAGGAAAAGAGAAGAAATCTAATTAAGTGATTAATTTAAAATCTAATCAAAACTCTAATAAACTAAACTAATTAATTTAAAACTTAATATTTTAATTAATTTAATAATTGATTAATGAATTTAATTAATAAACTAATTAATTTAAAAATCAAATTTAAATCAAGTTAATTAAATTAATTAGCAATTTGAGCTAAGCAGTTAATTTTAAGTTAAAAATTTAAACTTTAAATTAACTAAATTAAAATTAAAATTTTCATTTAATTGAATAAAAGAACAGAAAATCAATGTTTGCACTATACAAATCTAAGTACAACGCACACCAACTAAAACCCAAACTCCTAAAATTAAAACATCAAAACTCTAAACAAAACAAAACAAAACTATTGTAAAACTCAAACAAACTACAACCATGAACAAAGATCTAGCTCTGCAGACAACGCTCAAAGTATGCTTCTGCAAGTACCTGCCCTAAGTACCACAAGCAAGAAACAAAATTGATTAGTACTGTAGGCAAAATAGGCCTAAGAAAGAAAACAAAGTGCGGTATAACTATAAGTACTTAAAGTAAAACTACAGTGCTAGAAAAAGAAAACTACTACTGCAAGCAGAACACTAGCAATGAAATTAAAATAGTGTCGAGGCAACGAGCAATGAGAACATTGCAAAACCAGGCAAACACTTGTACCACTATAAACAAAACATTAATGCTGGTGTCAAAGCAGTGAAAAGTACAAAACTAAGTGTCTACTGCTAAATCCCTGCTAAGCTAAGTTCGATAGGCAACATCTAATAGAGGCTGTAAGTCCTGCTTCAATCAGGGTAAGTAAGGAAAACTTCATAGGACATATATCATGTCCCTGATAACATATGAGCTACTTCTAATAGAAGCATTAATACTCGCTCTTAATCAATTCATTAGGGAACTTTCAAGCGAAGTAAAGAACCCTAAAACCAAAACCCAACCACTTATAAATGTAGAAGCCGTAAGGCCTATCCTAAACACATGACCTACTTTGAATGAAAGGAGTAAGACCCACACTTAATTAATATGCTAGTAAAACTTCCCAATGAAGTAAAGCCCGGGCTACTTTTAATGAAAACAGTAAGACTCAAATGTTAGGAAAACTTCCTTATGAAGTAAACCCTGGGCTATTTTCAATGAAAGCAGTAAAACTTACATGCTACGGAAACTTTGAGTAAAGTACACTAACCCTAAAACTTAAACACATGGGCCACTTCTAACTGAAGTAGTAAGATCCGTACTTAATTAACACGTTAGGAAAACTTCCAAGTGAAGTAAACCAGTACTGAACCCAAACCCGGGCTACTTTCAATGAAAGCAATAATATCAACTTCTTAAATAAATCCCAAGCTAGTTTCAATGAAAGCAGTAAGACCCACTTCCAAACAATACAAGCTACTTTCAATGAAAGCAGTAAGACCCAGTCAAATAAATCCCGGGCTACTTTCAATGAAAGTAGTAAGACCCACTTTCAAACATACGGGCAACTCCCAAGCGGAGCCGTAAGCCCAATCCAAACCAAACCACCATAATACTAAAACCTACATCTATTCACTTCAGTTTACTCGGGATCCTTGAGGGGAGGCAACCCATGGCTGCTAATTATATTTGCTGGACACTACAATCAATGATTGTTAGTGTTGGTAACTGAAACCTATGGTATTCCCGGGATGAAGGAACCATGTGATCTTGATTGGGTCTTCCTTCATCCCCCACAACCAAGATTAAAACACCTGCACTTCTAAAAAAAATTAATTCATTCTTAGTAGAAGGGGTAATTATTTATAGAGGTTTTCCCTCATTAGTAGGATCCCAGAGCTAAATAAACCTCGATGTAATCATCGGAGAAAATCTAGTTAATTTAACATCCAATTTACCTCAAGGAAGAATGATCCTTAAGCCCAGAAAGCGGGGTTCGTGCCGACAACACCATTCCTTTCCTTGAGCGAACACTCTGTAAGTTGAAGATCCAGATTTTTACAATAGAAGCCTAACTAACCTTTTCCTTGCTGTCTTGTGCTTTTGTTACGTGTTTACTCTGCATTTATCTGCTTGAGGTCATAAAATGCATACTTCTTGTGTAGCCAAGTTTCTATAGCCTGCCAAATTTGGTGGCATCTTTTTGTAACATCTGTGCATAGAATAATAGTATTTTATGCATCTGTATTTATTTTCGGTCTGGAATTATAGGTCGATACTTAGTTTATTGCATAAAAGAACAATGAAATGAAAATATTTGATGTTAATTTTAGTTGATTGTTCCTTGTGTTTTTTAACCTTTTTCAACAAGTAAACGAAGTTAGATTTCAAACTATGATAATAGATGTCATACTCTGGACATTTTAGTTTAACTTTATGCATGGAAGTATGCCAGGAAATTGTTCTCCGCAACAGGTTTCACTGTATTTATTGAATCTTGTTTTTGTTGGCGTTTTTCATTTTGTTAATGTCGTTTAGTTGAAAAATAGACTGAATTTTGTTATGCTAATAAGTATCTATTTTCTAGTTCAGATCTCTAAAGAAAGAGTATGATGAGTTGAACTCAAAAACTCTTGAAGCGGAGAAGGAGGTGAAAGTGGCCCAGATGAAAATACAAGATTCCAAGAGTCATCTAGCCAAACTTCGGAAAGAAATGGATGGTAATTGTTGATATAGCCACATCTTTATATTTTTCTTTTTATTTTACTTTTGCAAGCTGAAATTACGTTGTTCTAATATATATTTGCATAAATTGCAAGTGCTACGCTGATTATTTTAATCAAGTAGTTATTTAAGAACACTATTTAATCTCAGTAATTTCCCAATAAGACTATTATTGATTGTTCTATGAACATTGATGTATCAATTGACATCATCTTACCCACTGAAAATGTGCAATTCTCTTTACTTCTTTTTGATGTCTTAAATGTCTTGTGACCATGATGCACCAACATTTCTCCTTAAAGAGGTATGAAGCGTCCGATACGTATCGAACATGACACGCATCCTACACGCCACTGACACGTTTCAGACACGTCAAAGATGTGCTCGATTAAGAAACACGTGTTCGAAATGTGTCTTAAATATTTATGAATTTTTTTAAAATAATTTCTTATATTTTAGTTTTTTATTTATGTAAAAATAAAATAAAATTTTTTTATTTCCTCTCAAAAACCTCAAATAGATAACTTGCACTCAATACCCCATTTCCGAACATTCCCATTTTCATGTCCCTTTGGCGGGTTGCTACTAGGTTTCCCAACAATGTTCGATACCATCGCAACATCAATATCCGATGCTGTCACGACATTTCATGTTTCAAAATCATCTCAAAATCAAATATTTGACGCTAGCAATTTCTACATCGACAATCAAGGCCCTGCGCCATCTTGACATCGCATATTTGTCCAACATCATCTCAACATAGATGACCGACGTCGTCTCGACATCGACGCTTGATGCCCATTGCACAACATCGATGCCCGACTCTTGACAACATTTTCATCTCCCTTTTCAATGCTTGAAACTCAACATCGATACCGACTCTTGATATCCTAATATTAATCATTTTAAGCACAAATTATAGTTAAAAGATTAACTATTTCTCAATTATTCTTAATATTATGCTTACTCAATTTCTATACATTATTTTGAAGATATACCCTTCCGGGCTACATAAGCGACTAAATGCCCATAAGGGCAAAAGCGGAAAAAACATCAAAATAAAATACGCTACTACATAAAATGACAAAATACAAGTCATGCTCGTAGCCGTCGACCTCCGGCGTCGAAAATGCTGACGATGTCCTCATCATTTTTAGTAATTCATGTGTCTTGTGTCCGTGTCGTATCGGTGTCTGTGCATCATAACTTTGTGATGATTTTTATGATTAATTGTAAAAATAATTTTAACCATTTCTATTTTGTTGTTTGCAAAAAGCCTCTTGAAAATTAGCAAGTATCTTTCCTTTGATACCAATGATGCAACATAATCCATAATGGAACTTGGATCTAGAGATAACTAATTGGCTACAAATAAATTTCAATCATTCTATCATCAATCAATCCAAATGTACATCATGGTTCCCTATTCATAGAAATAAAGTTATAACAATAAGGCCAAACATTTAAATACAAATCTAATCATTTCCAATGGCAATAGCTTAAAAGATAAAGCTTTTCTTATCCAAGAGAAAATAAAACCTGATAAAACAATTTAAAATAAAAGATAATGAGAAATAAAGTTATAAAAATAAGGCCAAACATTTAAATACAAATCTAATCATTTCCAATGGCAATAGCTTAGAAGATAAAGCTTTTCTTATCCAACAGTAAATAAAACCTGGTAAAACAATTTAAAATAAAAGATAATGAACTTCGGTTATGAATAGAATCGACCCTAAAATTCTTGAAAATGCGCTTTGACTCCTTGTAATTGGCCAGTGATGTAGGGCCTGCTGAGCTTTTGTGGAACAATTTGGCCAATTCGAATGCTTGCACTGTTCTCCTGTGGTGTGGAAGACCCTAATTCTCTCAACATTTATACTTGGCATGTGGCAATATTAATTCTTTCTTCTCAAATTTAGAATAACAAATTGGACAAACTGAAGTTTCTCTATAATAAGCATCACTTAATGCTCCATCGTTCTAGCTGATTGACAAAGTGTTGTTTTTTTATGTTTTATTTTTAGTTTTTATTCGTGAAAGTGATTCCTGAATTGTATAGAACATTTGTAGCCAAGGGAAGATTTCTCGAGTCCAAACTGCACTCTATGATTCAACAGTCTGATATTATCGACTCCTTTCCCAAAGTTTTGGTTGAAGCAATGGAGAAAAGAGATGTGCAGAAAAGGTTCTCATACATTTTTTCTAAGTTATATTTCAGATATCGTTAGATGAGAGAGCATTTTGATATTTCAAGTATCGATAAAATCTCATCCAACTCATGCACCTTACCTTTCCGATTCTTGATTCAGTAAATACAACATTGCTGATGGGATGAGACAAATGTTTGACCCTTTTGAAAGGGTTGCTCGTGCCCATCATATTTGTCCATGCTGTGAGCGACCTTTCACTCCTAAGGAGGAGGATGATTTCGTTAGTAAGGTCAGTGGGTTCTATAGAGCAGGGTGCATACTTCTAATAATATTTTGATTTGCTTACCATTATTTAGCTTCGCTAGATTATGAATACATATATTTTGTCATTGTTCTACATATCAGCAAAGAGTAAAAAGTGCTAGCTCTGCAGAGCATATGAAGGTATTGGCAGTTGAGTCATCAAATGCTGACTCACATTTCCAGCAGTTGGACAAGCTGCGTATGATTTATGAAGAATATGTGAAACTTGGGAAAGAGAACATACCTTTAGCGGAAAAGAATTTGCAAGAGTTGATGGAAGATCTCAATCAGAAATCTCAAGCTTATGATGATGTAATGTTAATCTCTTTTCTTATTTCACTGAATATTTGCACTGTAGTTTTCTTTTTTTATTGGTACAGTATCTTTTTATTTTTGTTACAGAACATGATTGACATCATTCTAGGTTTAATAAGGAAAACCCAAGTAGGTGGAGTTAACAAGATGAAGAGGATGCCTCCTTGCGCAGCACCAATTTATTTTGCTTCTCTTAGCACAATTTAACGAACATTTTCATATTGAACGTTTTCTCAGAGAAGAAATGAAGCATACTGCCCAGTCTATTTATATCTAACTTGAGCCATGCTTTGCATAATTCACTTTGAATCCTTTTACGGACAAAGCGATGAAGCCTACTGACAAAAATTACTCTTAAAAATAAACTGATTCATCTACATCGATTGAGTTTTGTTCTATCTTTTTTTGTAATTAATTCATGTAACTAAAGTAAGTCATATGTGTCTCTTATGTTCTTTTTTTCATTTATGTTGAACCTCTTAGAAAAAAACACCCCTCAAGTCTACTTGATGCACTAAAACTTTGGAGTAATTTTTTCTTTATGATTATTGTATGTTTAACAAAATTTTGAAATTTAAATTAAACAAAAAAAAGGAAAAGAAAAAAAGAGAAGAGGTGCATGTTGTCGAACGTGCACACCGTTAACATAACCGCTGATTTGATTTGTATAAAACAACGGAGAAATCGAACGAACATGTTACGCTTACGTGAAATCAGATCAGAACTACCAACACTTGCCCTCCTCCCGATCTCTCTTGCACAAGCCTGCAGCTGAAGCCGCTCTGCCTTTCCTGAGTGCGACACAAGCCACTTTGCTCTTCTTGATTGCAGCAAATGGTCGTTCCAACCGAATCCATGCACAACCAATCTGCTCGACGTTCCCAAGCCATCGACCATCTCAGACCAATCCCAAATAGTCCGCCTCCCGTTTGATTCCGATTACGGCTGATTCTCTCCTTCCACTCGATCTTGCCCCCATGAAGAAGACCCAAAGGCTTGATGTTCACTCTGCTTCACGCGAACATGATCAACATCCCCCATTCATGCGCCATTCTTCAACATCGATCAAGGCCGAAGCCTTCGATCCAGACAAACCAGCTGACCACGACTCCCTATCTCCAATCTCTGTACATCCCTTCTATCCCGCATGAGTGAAGTGAAGGGGGAAAGAAACTTTGTGTGTGTGTGTGTCCCGCCCGCCCGCACGCACGCACGCGCGCGCGCACACACACACACACGCAATTGCGGGGTCGATTTTTCTCTTGAAGCCCTTCGTCGTCGACTTTTAATTCAGCCAAGCGGATCCAAAAGGGCAAGTACCCTCCCAACCTCCCCTCATGGGGAGGGGGCGTTGAAAGGTTGTTGAAATTTTAGGAGAAACATCGAATTGCAGAAATTCTCCTAGCAAGTGTCGCAATTGCCAAATTGGAGAGTTTAAGATGTATTTCGGGGTTTATTCTTCCCCCGAAGCACTCGACCGTCGAATTCCATTAGATTAGGCTGATTGGAAAGGGAATGGAAACCGTGGAGAGAAGTAGATAGAAGATCGAGACGAAATATAAGAAGTAAGGTAGAAATGATAGCTCATAAGCTAAAAACCTGTAGGTTTCACATTCCAATAATTCATCATAAATCTCTCCATCTCTTTCATAAAGAAATCAACCACCTTATATAGAAAAAAGGGGAAAGGATATTAAATTCTCACTTAAATTTGCCACCCAAATAGCCAATAGAAGCCTTCCAAATCAGTCCAATTGATTAGGAAATATAGCATCCAACATAAGTTTCTTCAACAAATGGTGAAATCGAGTAGCCATAAGAGGGAAAACGAACAGCCATAAAAAAAGACAGTAAGGAAGCCGAAGGGGTATAGGGGAAAATGAAGAGCCATGAGGGAAAACTAAAATCTAGCATGGGGAAGACCAACAACCAACATGGGAAGATCAAGCAACCACTTTGGGAAGACCAGACAGTAGCAGAAATACGAGAAGACAACAAAAAATTTCAAAAAACAACAAGAATTTTCAACAAATAGTAGGGAAATTCAGCAAATATCAAGAAAAATGAGAAGTCGCACAAGAAAAATATAAAGTAGGATATCTTGACTGCATCAATTCTCCCATGGTGTAGAAATCACATCCCCTGATGAGAATATCTTCGAATTTCAAGATATTTTGATTGCGCTATTTATGATAGGAGATCTTTCTCTTGAATTAGAACTTCGGCATGAAAATATTCATTTTTTGATTCCAGTATTAAAGTGTCATATTTCCTTCGGGTTATCTCCTTTTCTTGTTCAAACTTAGATTGAAGTAGACGCTTTTTATTTTCATCTCTCTATGCACATAAATATTGTTATCTTCATAGTTTGATAAGTTTATTTTGTAGTGGATCAGTAGAACGTGCTTGAAGTGGTACCCATTTTGTTGTTGGAAATTTAACCTATGGAATCCAAAGAATAGTTGGTTGACTTTCTTGTTTGCCTTCAACTTATTGATTGTTTTTGTTGTCCATTTTTCCCAAATTTTTTTAACAGAAAGGAAGACACACACACAATAACCTATGCTCTGGTATGAAATTGATGCAATAAAAGCACAAGTATTGCAAACTCAAGTCTTCCTTATCATAAACATAACAATACTATTATAAATAAAGACATACCTTACAACTTTAAATAAAAGGGACACAACAACACCATACGACTAATCAAAGTTTTGAGAAGAAAGATACTGGTGGGATGAGAACTGTGGAGAGAAGAAGAAGATAGAAGTCTGAGATGAAGTTTTAGAAGATATGTGGTAGAAGAAAATAGCTTGCAAGCTATATAAACCCGCAAGTTTCACTTTCAAAAAATCATCACAAATCTCTCTTTTCTTTCATAAAGAAATCAACCACCTTATATAGAAAAAAAAGGGGAAAGGATAATAGAAGCCTTCCAAATCAACCACAAAACTTTTCTAAATCAGTCCAATTAATTACGAAATAAAGCATCCAACATAAGTTTCAATAAATGGGGAAATTGTGCAGCCACGGGAGGGAAAGCATGCAGCCATCAGAAAAGAGCAAGGAAACTGAAGGGGTATAGGGAAAAACGAAGAGCCAAGAGGGAAACCAAAGTCCAACATGAGAAGATCAAAAACCACTTTGGGAAGACCAAACATCAGCAGGAATACGAGAAGACAACACGAATTTTTAGAAAACAACAGGAATTTCAATAAATAGTAGGGAAATTCAGCAAGCAGCAAGGAAAATGAGAAGCCACATAAGAAAAATATAAAGTATGATATGTTGACTGCATCACCTCCCGACCTCCTCTCGTGGGGAGGGGATATTGGGAAGCTGCCAAAATTGCCCTAGAAATCTTGCTACCTTCGGAGATTGCCAAATTTCTAGAAATTATTGGAGAATAATTTATTAATTTTAAAATAAATTTAAATTTCATTTAATTAACCAATTAATTTTAAATTTAATAAAATTAAAATTTATTTGAACTTTCATTTAATTAATTCATTAATCAATTTAAAATCAAATAAAAGATAAATTGCCAAAACTATAATATATTAAAAATTTTTAAAATGCAGTAAAAGAAAATGAGGGGAGAGGCACTTTGTTAAAGTTATGCATTTTTAAATAAAATAATAGAAGAACAATGTTCACAGTAGACTAATGTAAGTACAACACACACTAACTAAAACCCAAACTCCTAAAACTAAAACACCAAAAACATTGAAACAAAACTCCTAACAAACCTAAACTCTCCAATGCTGTTAAACACTAACTAGTGCTGTGTAAAATTCGAAACCCTCCAACTGCTCCTAGCCTATGATGCACCGACACTCTGCGTAAAGAGGGTATGCATTGTCGGACATGTGTTGGACACGGACATGCGTCCGACACGGCATGGACACGTGTTTTACACGACATTGGAGTGTCGCAATTTAAAAATTAAAATTAAAATCGGACACGTGTGTCGCCATTTCTTCTCTTCATTGTTGAAAATGTCTATATTAATTGAAATATTAATTGTTGTTTTTTAAAACTTACTAAAAAAGCTAATGTACATGCTCGGTACCGCTAGGTACATGCTCAGTACCGAGCAGGTACATGCTCGGTACCGCTCAGTACATGCTCGGTACCGCTAGGTACATGCTCGGTATCGCTCAGTATATGCTTGATACCGCTAGGTACATAAGACGAATAATTCATAAAATTCATATTTGCTACACATTCTAAGACTCATACAATTCTCCTATAAGCTCTTTCATTGAACAGTATTAAACCTTTTGCTCTGATACCACTCTTGTTACGACCCGATCCGGCTAGATCGAATTAATGGGGCAGGAGCAGATAGTCGTACGTAAATCATAAATAAACCAGAAACAATTTCATTTACTCTTTTAAAACATAACATGAACATCTTCAATACATAATAAGAAAGAACCACTAAAAACATCAACTAAAAGTTTTTCCAATTTGTTTCTTCTCAAACAATAACTAAAAACATAAACATCAATATTTACATAAACTCCAACAGACTTCTCAGATACAAACCACTAACTCAAACTCAATAATAGAAAATATAAAACCTTTCTTCTTGAGATCCTGTACGACAGTAGGTGTACTATCATCTCGTTGCCATTACTTTCCAGATGGTTTTTTTGAAAAAGATTCCCACAAGCAGGGGTGAGCTTACTTGCTCAGCAGGTAATTCATATTTTTCATAAAAAATTGCATAAAACCAAAATAAAGTATTTTTTCATAATAAAACATTAAACGACGTTCAAACTTGTATAAGTTCAAAACATTATTTATAAGAATTTTTTTCATAAATCTTCCTCAATCATAAATCTTTCACTTAATGTTTTTCCTCAAACATCAACTTTCATATTTTCTAGAAAACATATATAAATCATATTATGCATAATGTCTATTATATCACCCTTCTCGGAGGTGCCCATAAATTCTGTACTGACATGTACAATTGTACATATTTTCAT